AAGGGGAGAATCTACCTAAGCTGAGGAGAACCTGAGGAGCCTTCTCTCCTGGCACATCTCCAGCAAAGACTGCCAAGATGCCTTGGCCATGGACCAGTTAAGAGGGACTCAGCTGGACTTGGCGTGGCCTGCAAAGACCAGTGAAAGGAGGCCAGAGCCGTTCTGAGAGGTGCAGGAATTTGTCACGGGGCTCAGCTGCAGCTGTACACTGAAAGGGGACATTGCTGTGGGAGAGAGAGAGAGATGCTCAGTGCTGCAGACTCGGTGAGTATGGGCAAGAGCTGGACACACAGGATAGGAATCCTCCTGATGGCACTTCTGAGTGATTAGAAGGAACGGTACAATTGGTTTGTGGGACTGGGAAAATGGTTGCTAAGACCTGTTACCTGTTCACTTAAGGGGGGGCAGGTAGAGAAATACCACAATAACCATAGCCTGGCGTGTGGCCAAAATGGAGTAATTGGTGGCACCCAGTGAAAGCCCTCGCCCACCTTTGAAGAGGAAGAGGTGCAACTTCTTGACTGAAAGTATGAGGAACTACAGGGGTCAGAGCTGTTGACCTAAACATCTCAGGAAGGTGTGTTGGCTGTGGCCAAATGAGCGAGGGTTCACCACTTGTGAGGACAGTGGGTACCAGCTGAGCATACAGGTCCTTGGGTGGGCATGGGCTGAATTGAGGAGAGACCACAGTGGGCACCATGCAGCCCACTCCGCAGCTTGTTGTGAAAGGCCAGTGTCTCAACAGTGGGGTCTAGACTGTGTGGATGAAGTAGATGAGCTAAAAGATCTGATCTGTAGGGCGTGAATGACCTTGCTTAATAGGAGAAGAAGGTGTCACAACACCATCTGCACTCTACTAGTAAAAGGAAGCTGAGGAGTATCCAAGATGTGCTTTGAGAGCTGGGAAATCTTGGCAGTTAATGCTGCTGTGCATCAGGGGTGGCACCTGCATAAGCAGGTTGCTTTGGGGCAGCAGTGCAGGTTTGAAGCTGATCCCACTATGACCTCCATTCACTGCAGGCTGGCTCAGTGACAGAGCTGCCCTAGTGCGTATGAGCTTGCCTCCTGTCAGAGAACACTACTCGGGCAGTACCACTTGTGTGGTGGGGTGTTTGGTCCAGAGAAGCTGGACCCAGCCTCCCCAGGCTGCAGGCAGTGTAGATTTGGAAGCCAGTAATTGTTTCAGTCCCCTGTTGAGCCAAAATTCTTGCTAACACCAACACAGCCAGGACATATGGTAACTGTGCATTTGTGAATTATGGGCAGCAAACAGAGAGAGGGTCAGTGCTGGGTCAGGACGTCTTTTAATGACTCTAGTTAATGAAAAAGGCTATGAAACTGTGCCTCTGGTAAGGGATCAAGGATAGTTCCTCTGAGTCCTGAAGTCACTTGTTCTACTTCATAATGAAGACTCAAGGCTCATCTTTAGAGGCATTGACCCATTAAACTGCCCCACACTGTCTGGGGAGAAGGCATTGTACAGACCACTGAAGACCTAAAGGTGCCTTCAGCAGTAACTTGGATGTCGTCCACAGGTCTGGTGAAGGGAGGCAGTGGTGCATGCCTCAGTACAAAGTAGAACAGGCTGAAAGAAATAACACCGTGGCAGGTGCAGACACTGTCATGAGAGGACAACACCTTGGATATTGTGGTCTGGTTTCCATACTCGGTTTTAAGAAGAATTGGCAAGTGGCAGTGGAAGCAAAGAGCAGGGGTGAAGGGCAGGAGACAGCATTTCTACTGCGTCAGTAAGCAGCACTTGAAAGTGCCGGCTTCTGGCTGACACCGAGCGGTCTTGGAAACGGTCGCTGCAAAATAGGTCCCTCTCAGCCTGTCTGCTCTGCTGAGATGGCTCAGGGCACACTCAGAAACTGCTGGTAAGAAAGACGGCATTTACAACTAGCCTGGGATCAGATCAAGGCTACCACTGAACTTGAGCTTCCTGAAATGAGAGTTGCTTTGAAAAGGGACTACTTCTCATGGACACATAGCTCAGCCAGAGAGAGTTTTCTCTCACAAAAAGAAAAATATGGCCGTGCACAGGACTGGGCAGTTTCCCAGGCGGTCACAGATGTGCAGAGTTTTGTGGGGCTCTGCCTTTACTACGAAGACCTTGTTTGTGGATTTGCCAATATTGCAGACTTACTACCTAAACTGGGTAAGAAAGAAACACCAACTGCAGAGGCATGTGAGATTTAACCATTTCAGAATTAGGGTTTTTCTTTTGTCTTGGCAGATTCAATTTGAAAACCCCTTAGGGGTTTGTAGCCCCTGTGGGCCCATTTGCAGGTCCCTGCAAATGGGAGGCTGCTCTGAAGAAAGAATACATAGGCTATGTAAATGTGAAGATTTAATATTTAATTTATAAAGTTGAAGATCTAACATCAACAATGATCTAAGTAATCCAGAGTCATTCCAAGAGGTACGTTGCCTACAAATGGGAGAACTAGTGGAATATATAGTCACACCCATGCCCTGGAATAGGAAAAGTGTTACAAACAACTTGTCCCAGCTTCCTAGTGGAAGTCAGTTTCAAATGTTGCCCTGACAGAGTTTGATCAAGAGAGGCACTCTAGAAAAGAAGATAGTCCCTCCACTTCCATAACACGCTCAGGTTCAAAGTTTTCTGATGCCTGTCCTGAAAACTACTACTATATGCTGGAGAAATGTAAATACTTCCCAAAGTCTCTGCCTTGGATGTAACATGTTGAGTAACTAGAAAGTCTGTTGGCAAATGTTCTTATCCCTGAGTACACTGTCATTGTGGGAGACATTAAAGAGAAAATTACGAAAAAGGTGGGAAAACTTATCTAGAAATGGTTCTGGTACAAACTGGTGATCCTAAATACCTCATAGCCCAGTCCTGAGTCACTCGTGAGTTTTGAAATTTCCAGATATTTGGAGAACGCAAAAAACCTTAGACAAATATTAGAGGATTTGTGCTCAGTAAAATACCAGCAAAAAGCATAAAAAATTTGGCAATAAATAAGGTCTTTGCAATAACTAGGCTGTTGGAATGGAATAGATGTATGGATTGAGGAAGAAGCTGGCTAAGAGTTTATCAGAGAAGGGATTTAGAAAGGGAGCTCAAGAATTTCTTTCAGTCTCCTGGACTCCCCTTACAAACAGGAACATCCCCAATGAGGGAGAGAGTCTGCCACATGGCTGTACATGGCATGTGTTATACAGCTAAGGTCATGTCATCAGCTGGGAGAGAGCAGCACAGCTTCATTTTCTTTAGTGAAACAGCACCCACTCCCCCCTGCTGCAGATTTGATTCCTCTGTGTTCTTCTGCTCCAATAAGTGAGTAGGTTTTCCCAGCAACTTGGTTTTTTGGCTGTTGCTTTTTGCTGTGGGCACTGGGAGGAGAGCAAGATGCATCTTCCAAGAGCAGACTTTGAAAACAAGAAGATAACTCCTTACGCAGCCACCCTTTTGCCTCCTTCTCCTTCACCTGAGGTCAACACAGTGTGCTTGGTTAGAGCAGTTCTCTTACACTCTGCTGCAGAGAGGGAGATACCTTTCTGACTCCTGTCAGCTTTGCAGTGTGTTTAAGACCTTAATCTCAGTCTCAGGAAGAAGAAATTTTGTTTACTTTTTTAGGGAGCGAAAAAAAAAATTGAGACGGATTCTCTAAAGTTACCTTGTTCTGATCAATCCAAGTCCCTATTTATCCCTCCAGAGCACACAGCCAAAATAAAGTTATGAATAGAGTGAATAAAATGTAACCCCACCTGCTGCTGTGGGAATGGATGAGAGGGAAGACTGGGAGGGGATAGAATAAACTGAGAACATGAGGAGAAGACAGTGAAGGGCAGAGACCAGTTTGTCTCTGACATCCTGTAGACCACTTCACCCAATAACTCTGACAGCCAAGAGAGTGTGAAGCTTTTCTATGGCATCCAAAACTGTTGAGGGAGTTTTGGCAGGACTAAAGATATGGAACCATGTCCCTTGAGCTGGGGGGATCTGGAAGGGGCAGAGGCACCCATAGGGGAGGGAACAGAAGTTGGTAGGTACAGATTGAGGCAGAATGGCAAGTAGGAAAGAAGTGAGAGTATGTCCATTTTGCAGCACTAAGAGACAGTTCTGGGGATGGCAGGGGCCCAGCTGATGTGGAAAAGAGAAATCTCTGATTGGAAGGAACATCTGCAACTCAGTGTCTCTCCACTCTGACTCTGTTCAGCAATGTCTTCTGGTACTTCAGGATGAGGGCAGGAGTGCTGCTGGGAAACCTCTTTACTCCCAGCAGGGGTTGCTGCCTCAGCTCCTAGTCCTTGCTCTGGCAGTTCCTGGAGGTCCTAGGGGAGCTGGGGGAACCTCTGTGTTTAGCATCCTTAAATGTTAAGTGGGAAGAGGAGAGAGTGTTGCTGCCTGGGAGGGCTGTCCTTCTCCAAGGAGACCCAAGAGAGATACAGGTTTGCACTGACAACATGATGCTTCTCAGTCAATAGCACTTGCTCTAACAGCCTGCAGAACAAATGCTACTTCCTACCATGCCATATTGCTTACAATATTGCCACATATCAAATAAACTGAAATTCCAAACTTCCTAGGTCGTGAACTCTAGGCTGTTGCGGGCTGTGCCAGGGCACGCTAAAGCTCAGAGCACAGCAAACCTCCCAGAATCAGCAATCGCACCCACAGCCCGAGAAGGTGGCTCATTATGCCCTCCGCCAGGGCTGTTATCCAGAGAAGCTGAGGAAGATCCGTTCCTTAACTCTGGTGGGCTTGGGATCAGGTTTATATTTCTTTTGAAACCCTTGCCACATGTGCAAACAAGTTGCACTGGGTGGTGTAATCCGAGAGTGAAATTAAATGAAGAGGTGACGCGCCAACTGCACACACAAAACAAGGGAAGCGTTTCCAAATCACAAGCTGCCACGGAGCAACGAGTTTTTACAT